GGCCGGCTCTCCCGCCCGCTCTCTCGCTGGGGCTTGGCAGGCTCCCCCCCGCCCGTCTGCCCGCAGCTCTGATGTCAGTGAGGGAGGAGCCTGCGGCAGAGGGACCCGGGCTGGGAAGGGAGACGCCGCTCCCCGCTAGGGAAGGGGTACGCAAGGGACCCCTTGATCCTGGCCAGACCCCTTGCTGGACGCTTCCCGCCCTTCGTGCTCCAGCAGGGTCCCCATTTCACGGAGGGGACAACTAAGGCTCAAAGAGATGAAGGGTTCCAAATCAGCAGTTGATCAGTGGCGGAGTAGAATTCGAACCCAGATCGATCTGACGCCAGAGGCAGACCAGGTTTACTCTGTGGCCTCCTGGATTTTCTTTTAGACCAGTTTTGGGCGCTCCCTTAAGGCTCCCCGGGCTCCGTCTCCCCTCCCTCCAGTGCCTAGAAGAGAATTAGACCTGCTGAAGGGCTCAGAATACTGGGGTGGGGGGTGGGGCGGGGACAGGACTCGGGGGAGGTAGTAGGGAAAGGGGAGCCCTGGTGGCGTAGTGATTAATAACTCAGGCTGCTAACCAAAAGGTCGGTGGTTCAAATCTACCAGCCACTCCTTGGAAACCCTATAGGGTAGATCTACCCTGTCATATAGGGTCGCTATGAGTCGGAATCGACTAGATGGCACACAAGAAGAAGCAGGGAAAGGGCAGAGCAAGAGTAGACAATGAAGAGGGTCGAGGCAGTCGTAGGGTGGGAACTCCGTCCAAGTCCCATTTGACAGGTGGAAACACTGAGACCTGAGGTCCCTCAGTGAAGCAGAACCGAGGCTCCAAGCCCTGACACCTACCCCTCTGAGCACTGTGGTGCCCGAAGGTTCAGGGGCAGGGAGGAGGGGTGGTAAATCAAGAGAAAGTTGGCCAAAGAGAATCCAAGTGCCACGTAACTGGGCAGGCGCCAGAGGCAGTGCTTTGCAAGGCCTTCCCTGGGAAGAAATGTGGCACAGAGTGGGAAGCGGGGGTTGGGGTGGGGAGCAGCTCTCAGGGTCTGGCGGTGAGGGTGGACTGTCAGCTGCAGGTGCTGCTGCAGGACCCATACACCACCTCCATCGACCTCCTAGTACCACTCCCCACTCCAGAAATTCCTGCGTTTTCCAGTTGCAGACGACAAGAGGACAATGCCTAACCCAACTCATTTCCAACTCGCTTTTCCCTCCAACTCGCTTTTCCCTCCCTTATCACAGGAACTATGTGAGAGGTTGGTCAATTTATTAAGCCCGTTTTACAGTTGAGAGAGGAAGACGGCTGAGGATGGTAGAGGGCTTTAGAGTCTGACTGGCTCAAGTTACGCGTCACCTCTCTGAGCCACGTTTCTTTATCTGGAATAAGAGAATATTGATTTCTGCCTCATAGAATTCTCCTGAGAATTATATAGGATAATAGATGTGAAGTGCCTGAAGCACAGTAGGAGCACAAAACATGAGAGCTGGATTTAGTGTAACTGAGGCTCAGATTTGGCCAGGGACAGAAGGTGCAGGGATAATTTCCTTCCCCCACATCTCAGTATCTCAGACTCCAAGGGACTAAGAGGAAATTTCCCTTTTCCAAATCTCAGTATCTCAACTCCCCAGCCCACAAAAAAAAAAAAAAACACACCTCACACCCAAGGCTGAACCGCTACGCTCCCCTCCACCCACCCAGCAAACCCACCCAGCTGGGGATTGTTTCACAACAAATTCCTACTTATTTCATTGACAGCATTCCCAGGATTAAGATGGTCTGAGCCCTTCTGAGGACTTGTACAATTTTTATGCTGTTTTTTTTTAGAATAATTTATTTTGTTGTTATTGTTGAGAAAATACACAGCAGAACATACACCAATTCAACAATTTCTACATGTACAGTTTATTGACATTGATTATATTCTTCAAGTTGTACAGCCATTCTTGGTCTCCTTTTCCAAATTGGTCTTCCCGCATTCAAGCTGCTGATGTCAACTTGATCCCATATAAACAGTTCTTTAAAAGAGCACAATGCTCAAGGCAGACATTCTTTACTAATTAAGCTAAGTTACTGTTTGGTTTAAAGAAGACTTCAGGGGATATTTTTGGTATAAGGTTTAAAGATTGTTTCAGGGCAACAGTTTCCGGAGTTCATCCAGACGCAATTGCTCCAGAAAGTCTGGATTCCATGAGAATCTGGAATTTTCTTCCACATTTTCCCCCTTTTGATCAGGATTCTTCTATAGAATCTTTGTTCAAAATGTTCAGTAATGGTAGTTGGTCACCATCTAGTTCTTCTGGTCTCATGGCAAAGGAGGCAGTTGTTCAAGGAGGCAATTAGTCACATTATGCTCTGTTTAACATTCTATCTGCTTTCGAGCATGTCTAAGGGCACTTTTTAAACAAATAAACACATTCCATCTTTATTTTAATGTATCTGTTAAACAAATAATACATGGTCATTGCAGGAAAATCATATAACGTATTAAAAACACACATAAACCATCCTTGCCATTGTCAGATTCTTTTCATTTGCCAAGTGACAGAATCCCAACCTGAGCCAGCTTCACCAAAAAGGAATCTATGGCTCACACAGCTGGCACAAGATTGAAGGGAAAACACGGTGGGCCAGGGTCTTAGGTACTGGAACTGGGAACACAGTACTCATGGGATTTGCTTTCTCTCATCTCTCCTTGTCTTGATTTCTCTTTGCATGTTGGCCTCCTTTCCTCTGCAGAATGATCTCTAATCGGCAGAATTGGTGGCCCTAGCTTTCCAACTCAACCCAGCAGAAGGAGAGCTACACCCAGTTTTCGTATATCAGTTTCAGGGAAGGACTCTGATTGGTTCTGTTTGAGTGACATGCCTACCCCTTAGCCCCCATAACTGTTGCCAAGCAGATGAAGTAGTAGGTTGGGCAAGTTATTGTGATGGGCAGCCATACCAGAGTCACAAGGGATAAAGGAGGGGCAGCTCCCAAGGGAAATAAGAACAATCAGAGACAGACAGTGTTAACACTTTTGCTACAGATTCTTCCAGACTTCTTTGGATGCATATACGTATATACACTTCCTACTGGAGCCCCCACTGCCAGCGAGCATAGTTCAAGGTAC